TGAAGTAGAACTGCCTGGTCCTCGCCCATCAATGCAAAGTGCACCCTCCTGTCCTCAAAGAGGACTGAGTATGATTTTTATGGAACTTACTCTAAAGGAATACAGAAAGCAGGGTCCTTACCAGTATCTAAATCCATTCGGTGAGGAAGGTAGTTGTTCTCCAGGAAAAGCAGGGAAGGTTTGTTATACGATGGAACTACTGTAAGACCAAGTCTTTTTACTGGTTTAGGCTTCTGAAGAACGCAGCATCTTTCAAACTTGACTGAAGATTTTTCTGCTGCTCCAGCAAAACTTCACCATTGAACTTTAGCAAGGGGAGAAAGAAGTTCCAAAAGTCAGAGCAGATGCAGTCTCGTTAGGATGCACTGCGCTACTCATCCCCAGGCACTCGGGCCATTACATGCTTTACAGCCCTGGGAACGTTCCCTTCCCCTCATTTTAGGGCGCTGGGATCTCCTTTCTATTGCACTGACCCTATTAACAACAGAATATCATTTGCTACAAACAAAGATTTGTTGTTGTTGTTGTTGTTGTTCTGGGCTTTTTGTTACGCTTGCTGTTGTGGTCCTAGCCATTGATCTTCAGGCTGAGCATAAAGCTTTTTCCCCACAGAACCTCTACAGAACTTCTCTCTTGCACAGGTTTTGCTGGCTTTGGCTTCATGTACCTTAACAGGGCAACAGGCAGAGATGAGAAGGGATTGCCTATGCATTTAGCAGGACACTGGCTTCATTATACCTTTCTTTGTAATTGAGGAAAAGAAAGAGATACTGACCTTCTGTTTACTAGCCAGAAGGCCACGTGCCTAGTCTCCTTCAGGGCACTCGTGTTAACCCAATAGGGTTTTATACCTTGCTTTCAGAAACAACGTATTTGTTCATAATGTGTTAGGCCTAAGTTGTGGACAAATACGAATGTTTCTGATCAGGAACTCCAGAACATACTTCCATTTCTGGCCCAGAGAGTTCGAATCTGTTATAGCCAAAGGAAGAACAGCTGCAGAATCACCCTTCTTTCACATCACTCTGCTTTAACACGGCAGGAAATGGTGAAAAGCAGGAAGGCAGCTGAGAACACGTGGGCACTGTAGATGTTTGGGCACTGTGGCAGCCACTGGGCCTGCAGTAACAGTACAGCACCTTTTTCTGCCACTCTTGGGAGTTGGTTGTTTTGTTTTTTTTTTCCTTACTGCAGCATTACTCAGATTTGTGCCAGCTCTATTCTGTGAGAGAATGATCTCATGATAGTGTTTTCATGTTCAGTTGACAAACTTGAGACAGTGAAAGATTATATAGGATGTTAACATACAATTGTAGCATAGGAATTTATGTAAGCACTACTTCCCATGAATCTGCCAGAATCCAAGCTCCTGGCTATACTTTTATTTAGTAAAACCATACGGTAATGAAGAATCCTAGTGCTATTTCTACAACATGAATTAAATATTTAAATTGCACACCCTTCAAGATGGGGCTGCTGGGACAGCACCATAAACAAGAAGCATTAGGAGTCGGATGGCCTGTTTTGTTAACAGGGAACTACTTGATCATAGTTGCTACTTTTCTAATCATAGAACAGCACAGGATGTGATCAAAGTGCCTTGGTGAACATTTATATCAAAAAATTTGCACTAAACCTGTTTAAAGTAAATGAAAAAACAAAATCATTCTAATTTGCTTCTTGAAAGACACAAGCCAACACAACTGCCTTTTTTCCTAAAAGGATGTTATTTCAAAGCTTCTACCTTACATCTAAATAAACCTTAAAAAGGAAAACGTAACAGAAACTCACCTGCACAGCCAGTGATTGTATGAACTGCCACTTTCACATCATCTACATGGATTTAGTTGATCTTTTAGAAGAATCCTGAATGGAGTGACATAGTCTAAAAAAAACCAGAAGGAGCACTACAAACCTGCAAACCCACTTCCCTGCTCTATTGGCGCATCTCTGTGGATTAGACTGAAAACTGCAAGAGGAAACTCAGTATTATCAAAGCATAAGTGACTGTAAATGCTACATAAGAGACCAAACCTTGCTGGAATAACATCTGGGTTTATGGAGCTTTTTACATTAAAAAAAAATAATCCTTTTGCCAAAGTAATCCTCCCCCCGTACTGAATCAATCTGTTGCTAGAGGAGGAGTTATTTTTCCCTATCTGCAAGGCCTTCAACCCCTGATGCTACAGTATTGCCACTTAAGTGTTTGAGACTGGCCCTTTTCTACTTCTGTCTCAAAGGAAAGTGCCTATTAAAGATGAAGCAGAAGTACACACTGCTGCATCTGTGAAGTGACTGTATCTCAGAAGGTGGGACTGATCTCTCCTGGATATCCCACTAGCTTCAGCAGAGTACAGCTGCAAGAAGCAGACTACCATGCTGAAAGAGATACAAGATTCATAAACCACTTAATGCATCCTTAATGATATATCGAGCTGAAATTCAGATGAATGAAGCTGATTTTTGAAGTGCTTGAAAGGACATTAAAATCATTACAAGGTTTTTCCTTTAAAAAGTCTTTTCTTATTGTGCAAGTTCTAAAATGTGATTTCCTTCAGAGTCATACCTTTGATTTTTTCGGTGTCAACTTACTGAATTTATTCTCCTCCCTGTTTCTGACTGTTTTATCAACAGATGTCCATTGTCTTAAAGGCACATTAAGTACAAGAAACTCAAGTTCCAGTAAAACTACCGATTTGGAACAAATAAGTTAAGAAATGCATAGACTGAAAATATTCAGATAACTCTTGGGGTATGAGTGCAATTTATGACACAGCCTGGTAGTGTTGCATGCTTTGCTGGTTAGCTGTGTTAAATAATGTTTCAGTAGTGTAATCCATGTCATGCAAAGTTTTGAAATGTTCTTTGAATAAACTGAAACACAATAAACAGATAAATGCTACAAAAAGGCTCAAATCTCCTTAGACACTGCAGAAGTTACATTACTACCCTTAAGGGAGGATGTTTGTGTGGGGACAGCAAGAACAGTGAACCACAGCATTCTGTCACCTTCCTTTTATTGTCTTATATCTCCATCCAGCCCCCTTGAGTACAAGGGAGGAACAGAAAGCATCTGCTGGCAAAGCCACATATTCCAAAGAAAATATTCCATTTCAGAAAACTAGTGGCAGGAGACTTCATACAAGTGTAGGATAATAAGGCAGAGCTCAAAACTTTTTCCTGCACAGCACCATTTAGTTAAGAAAATCCACGGGATCACTAAGGAATTTCTACTGTATCGAGTATTGCAAAGATTTCTGGAAAGGTACAGCAAAAGTAGGCAGAAGATGCAGATTACAAATAACTCACAGAGAACAGAGGAGAGTTTATTACAGTGTCTTACAAGAGCTCTTCTTCCTGTCCCTTACTCCTAAGAATTACTGTAGGAAGCTTGGGTTTGAAGGCAACATGAAGTGGAACAGCTTTTTACACTACACTGCTCTCCACGAGGAGATGAAACCTCTTCCCTGGGCTTTAGTTCTCAATAGGTGCTTCCACATATAATTTTTCCAGCAGTCTGTCCTAAGAGCTTAAGAGAGGCTAGGGAAGTGCCAGCAACTCTTGAAACACTCCACTCTTTCAGCCTTGTCCTTGGGGAAGAGAGGTGTGATCTCCCTCCTGGCTTTGTAAGTTAACTTACAAGAGATATAAAGAGAAAATACATAGTTTTGCAAGACGTTAAGTGATTAGTACCGGCTTTCAAATTGAAACGTACGGTACCACCATGTCCTGTGGTCTATCTGGTGTCCTGTCTTACTTTAATAGAGCTGTCCTAAGTCAAATCAAAAGTCCTTGTGAAAACTGCAAGATGCCTCTTTATTCTGATGCACCTGCAAAGCAGATCCAGTGCTCAGGTCCTTCAGATGTTAACAGGATTGCTCATGACTAAACAGTTCTTAAAAAATGTTTTCTGTAACAACTGAAAACAGTTAATTTACTACTCATAGCTACATAAACACAGGAATTTAGACAGCCTTCATTCCTGATCTCCTAGATCAGGATCACCGCTTTCTACAGTTAACACTCTGGTTGTCCAACAGTTTCCAGAGCAGCTCGCACTCCGTATGAACACACAAACCTCTATGGCAACAGGCACAGATGAAAACTTAAAAAAATAAAAATAATCAAGATGAACAGAAACACATCTCACTTCAAGCAGCTTTATAATGCAGGAGTCTGATTAAAGTGGAGATCATAAAACAGGCAGCAAGACCACGATGTGACAGTCATTTTACCTCTGCTCACATGACTGCATCGAAGGCACACCGATGACCTTTGAGCCAGTTCAGAAGCTGTCCTTTATCTGTGAAAGTTCAAGTCAATTGTGCTTTGAATAAATACTTCTCTGTAGTTACACTTGAACTGCTGCATTATATACTAGAAATACAGAAAGTGTCCATGCACAGCCCTGAAGCACTTTGAGTATAGCCCTTGCCAGGTTAACTCATGGGTCACAGAAGTCGTAGGCATCACCAGCACACACAGATGGCAGGCACACTCCCACAGAGACACGGCATCCAGAGAGCTGACCGGCCAAACGAAGAATCAGAATGGAAGAAGGATGGAAAGCAAAACTTGCTTGTAGGAGTTCAGCATTCAAGGTTACTACTGCAGAACCCAACCAAGCCACTGTAATAACTGGCTGGAGCCTCTGCTAGGACAAGCTCACTACTGGAGTTCACAGTTGGATTCTAACAGGGCTGTTCAAGAAGTAATTCAGACAGCAGCTGAGCTAGTTATTAGTCATTTGCCTTGTTATTCATTTACGGTTGTCACTTTGTTCATTCTTAAAAATCCTTCCCTTCAGTTTTAACAGGAGAAAAAAAAAAAAATCCAGTGCTTAAGACAGAGACTAGCAACTGAATTTTGTAAGGCTTTGGGCTGACTCTCCCTGGAGCACAGCACTGCTTATAACCAACGGGCTTTTGAGTGCCATCGGTAGCACACTCAGTACAACAACAGAAGCTGTACAGATCACAGCAACCCTGAGGTAATAAAAGTATAAAGGAAGAGATGGAATAAACGTGAGATATGTATGATAATCTTGCAACCTAGAAGAGATTCTGAGAAAGACACTCTTGCTAATTACACAACAGGAGCAGCAGTGAAAAAAAAAAGTCAGTATATTTCAGTTTTTCCTTTGTTTTACACACACACTCCCCTTAATGGTATCCGTGCAGGCTGGCTTCCCTGCAGAACCGTCACTAGTGTTAAAAATCAGATCTTTAGTCTTTCTTTCTATCTGTACAAAGTGCAGTTGGAATTGATTTTGATCTCCCAAACTGGTTGCAGAAAGGACAGAAAGTCTTCCTCTCCCTTCTGCCTAGGTCACCCCATCCTAGTCCCCCTCCCCCCTAAGAAGCTTTTAAAAATTAAAAGCCCTAATTAAGCATGATCAGCTTGAGACTAGTTTTGTCATCTTCTTCCAAAAAGAAAAATCCAAACAAAAAAGCAAAAACAAAACACACAATCAATGCCTCACCCACCCCAAAAACAATAGTTCCATTTAAAAAAATAAATAAATAGTGTGTATATTTCATGCTGGAAAAAAAAAAAAAAGTCACAGAAAGGATTCATTTTTGGTTTTCCCTCCCCCGAACATGACACCAGGCATTTTCTCCCCCCTCCCCTGACGTAGACACGATGGTACATTCCAACCGGCAATGTGCATCTGTGTTGAAAATGAGTTTCTACTCCTGCACGGTCCCACATGCATCAGGGAGCATCCAGCTAGCTGCTAAAGCAGAGCAAAGGCTTTCAGGTTTGGGGTATGGTCCCTGCCTGTTCCTTTGGTCCGTCTGTTAAAAGGCTCCTTGCTGCTCCCAGGTCTCTGCTCTTGTCTGTCTCCGTTAAAACTCTGGTCCCCACGCCTCGAGTCACTGGAGCTTCGTACCCAGCTTGCGCTGTCTGTTTCTGCAAGGGCAACACAGAGGGCAGGTGAGAGGGGGCCCCAAGCCCATCGCAGGGTGTTGCTGCAAACCAGCGGGCAGAAGACAGGAGTTTATAAAGCGAGGCTCTGCTTAGCTCCTCGCAAGAATACAGCTGCCCCCACCATATTCTACAGGGAGCTGGGTCCTTCCTGCTCTTTACAGTCCCAGAACATCCCCTGTGTCTTAAGTGCGCACAAGCTCGCATGTGGCTGCAAGATTATAAACAACTGCTTGTAAAACCCATGGGCTAGGGAGCTGAAATCCCATCGAAAGGAAACATTCTTTAAACCCAAACACTCCCCGACAGACTCACCTTCCAGATGCAGCAGTTAACCCGCTACTTGCTATTTCTTTACTCTGCACTATTCTACCCACAGCAGCTATCTACATATTGTAAAATAAATTAATAACTACATCTGACAAGTCAAACCAGCTACAGCTCCTCCACACCCCCCACCCCCAACCCCCCCAATAAAACTTACCTTGCCTCTGCTCTCGTGACTGTGTATTCAAACCACAGGATGTTAGGAATGAGGCTGGTATCTCGGATTAAAAAGAACTCTGAAATTGGCCTGAAAACAGACAAGGTGGTGGAAAACGGGAAATAATTAAGACTTTTTCTCCACCACAATTTTGATTTAAAAAAAAAAAAGGCACAAAAACTGCTTCAGAGTTAACAACACCATTTATTACCCTTCAGGCTGGGAAAAGGGCTCCTTGTTAAATTTAATCAAAAACTCCTCCTCTTTTTTCTTTCCTTGCACAATGTTTCCAGACTATATTACATTTAAATGGCTTTGAAATTTCACTAAGTTATTAGACATTCATTAAGAAAGGTCTGCTGCGCTTGAAAAGCTTCTCCAGCACTCTGCCACACCTCACACTTCAGTAGGGCTTTACAAACCTAACAGTGGCTTAAACGTCCTCTCTCCCCCACCCACGTCAGGCAAGGAGATTGGATTTTTTGTATATGCATGCACAAGAAAACATGAAGGAACAAGTAGGTTACACAACAGTCAGTATGCAAACTGCAACAGAACCAGGAATTCTCATTTCTAACATCTCTAACTTAGGCAGTTCATGGAAGTTTCAAGCAGCCTGTTTACAGTCAGGGCTTGCACAGCTACAACTAAAACTTTAAGAGACTGAGGCATCTTTATGTTTGCTTAGCTTCACATTCAAGGTACAATTTTTACACTGATTGATTAGGAAGATTTCCTTTTGCCAGGTAATTCTATCACACCTGAGGTACCAGCTCATAGCAAGGGACTCATTTAACGAGCAAAACAGCAATCCACAGAACGCAGACTTGCAGGAACGAAACCTCCACAGAGTAAAGAGACTTACCATGCAGCTATCCTTGGGAAGAGAGGAGTTAGTATCTCTTGTGTGAAGGCAAACCAGGCTATGGCCATAATGCTTCCCGCCACACCTCCATACAAGACTTGGCTCCAGGTGTGGTAAAGCAAATAAACCCTGCAGTGGGAGACAAGAGCCACCAGACAGGCTTTAAACCAAGAAGAGGCATGACTCAAGGGGTGATGTTTCACTGGACCCTCAGACATTCCGCACAAGTCATCCTCCAGATGTTAAAAGTGGGTATCTTACTTTTTTCATTAAAAAGCTGGCAAAAAAAAAAAAAAAGCGGGGAAAAAAACCCTGTCCTCCCTGCTACAGCAGTTTCAGTTTAGAGCACTTCTAGTTTGAGCTTAACTCAATAACCCTCCACATTCTTCTTCATCTATCTTTGGATTAGCTGAGGAACCACTACTGTTGGTTCCTACAAGAGACTTTTCCAAAGCCAGTAACAGGACAAGTCCCCTCCAAGCCACCAAAGCTGGGGCTTAAAGGCTTTTAAGACCATTTTTGTTACAGTTTTGCTGCTCTCAAATATGACAGCACAAAGGCTGCACTACCACAGCGTGCTTACTGTGATTGCAGCCATTCAGAAAGCTGTATTAATGGTCTGTTAAGTTATCCGTGCATACGAGCTACATGAGTCACATTCAAAATTCTTTTCACCCATATATCACAAAGCCGTTAAGATCATCTTATCTGACCCACTGCCTAGCACAGGCCACTGGATTTCCTCAAATTAATTTTTATTTGAATTAGACCATATATCTCTTATGAAATTGTCCTGTCAGAATTTTAAAAAAAAAACAAAACAAACAGTCATAAGGAATCAGCTCTAGTGTACAGTCAACTGTACTACAACAGGCTATTACTTTCCTGTGGAAAACATGGCCTTATTTCTAGCCTGAATTAGTCTGGTTCCCAGTCACTGGAGCTCATTTTATATGTGTGCATATATACATTTTTTTAAAAAAATCTACTAAAGGGAAAAAATATCATTAGCAAATTTTCATTTTCTTTATTCATCTTACTACAACTAAAACTTGCAAGTCAAACAGCTATAGATGTTTTTATTAACTAATACTCAAGCAAAACAATCGGATTGATCAACTGTAACAACCCACATGCTGCCGATGCTGGTGTGCCAAGGCATGGTGCAATGCTTGCATGGTTAGTGCTGGCAAGAGGGCGAGGCAGTGAGGCTAGAGCATGGCAATGGAGCCGATGGGGAATTGGTACAAGCTCAGCTGATCCTGGGTTTTATAACTGCTTCTGTGAAGCACCACACATGTAGCACCTTTGCTTATCTGAAGGGTCTCATGGCAGCACAGCAACTTCCCCAAAGCTCCGACTCGTACAATGCAGTCGTCGAGAATTAGATCAGGAATGCAGGATAAGGAAGGACAGGTCTGCTGGCTGTTCAAGGCCACAGGACTGTATGAGAGCATAAGACAAACAATTGCTCCATACCTACTATATGAGACTAGCAAAGCCACTGTGACGAGGCAGATGGACAGCACATGTCGCCATAGTAAATCCAGAAACCTCGCATTGTTTGTTTGGTGCATTCTGAAAGAGATGGAGAGCCATTAGCACAGTGGCAGGGAGCTGAGCAGTCCTTATCTCTCTTCTATCTCTGAAACCCTAGGAAAGCTCTACTCCAGTGGGGTCATGGGCAGCTCGATACCATCCCAGAAGCAATCTGTCCCACGGGCAGCAGCTAAAGAGAAGCCAGAAAGCCACGCTTCTCTCTCTCCAACTGTTAACAGGGATTGCTGTGATGGAAGGCAGAATGCTCACAATTACTGCAACTGATGTGAAAGGCACATGCTGAGCATATGCAACAGGGAGCCAAGACATCAGAGTCCCTCCGTTGTCCACAAAGCTAGGAGGAACTGTGAGTTTTGCCTTCCTCCACACGCGGAGCCACAAGACAGAGCCATGCCCCAGCGAGAATTTCAGAAAAGCACAGCACAGCACGTAAAACCAGTACTTGGGAAGGGAGATGAACTAAAAGGTCATGCAAGTGGGCAACAGGTATTTCCTAAAAGACTGCGGACAACCCCACTGACAAAACTGAGCAGACACGTGAGAAAGCAGCTCTTCTTTCCTCCTCCCTATTCCCCCCCCTCTTCCCTCACACTGGTGGATCACCACGGCTTAGAAAAAGCACATCAGGAGACCTGTACCCACACAGGCATAGGAGGTCCACCCGTACCCTTCAGTTTTCAGCAGAGGTAACTACAGCCCTACATTCAGATAGAGACAGACATGCTTCAACCACCCTGGCCACAGTAAACTGTGGAGTTCCTCCGCTTTAACTCCATTAGGCCACTGAATGGCACACAGCAAGGGAGCCATCTATTTCAGGTGTTTCAACATATTAACAGCCAGAACCTGACATTGAATTTTTACCTTAAATAAAGGAACAGAAAGGAATAGACAGAGAAAAACCACATGAATTGGGAGTGGCTGGACGGCATCCCATATTTTGTGGTCACTGTTGAATGGGCTTCTGGGAAGAGAAGAAGAAAGAGTATGGTCAAGGTCTACTCTGTACGTAGCAGCTGGAATGCTCCAGAGGTGAAGCCAGACCACTCTGCTGGAGTATGTGCACAGGAGTTCACAGGACAAGTCTCTGCTCAGATGGCTCTGCCAGCCTTCTTACACCCAAACATCCAAAGCCAACATGAGCCAAAGGGGAAAATATCCTCTAACCCCCCCCCGCAGTTAGCACTCCACTCAGAACTCAGCTGACACCATGACACCAAGGGGCCATACCATACCTTCGCAGGGCCGAGGCTCCCGGATTACATTTTTTATTAACCAGTTCACTCCCTCGTTGAATGCCAGCCCGCCCAAGAAAGAGATCTGTGAAGGCAAGACAACTGTGTCATCCTATCTAAAAGATCCATCTACTTACCAGGCGCTCTCTGTTGAGAAAACCCCCAACCATGTTTCTGATTTTCTTTTCTGACTACTAGAGTTAAAAACAATGGCTTCAAAATTCTCTACCTAAGGAAGAAAAGCATTTCTTTTTCAGTCCACTTTGCCTATTTGGCAACACATTGTGTATATGCAGCTTTTCAGCAGACAATACACAGAAAAAGACAAAAACGTACAGCAATTCCGTTAGCATACTTTCACCAGCAAGTGTGGAAAGTGACATATTTTAACAAGGCAGGTTTTAAGGGATTGTCTTTTCCCAACAACCAACAGGGGGAGTGCACACACTATTATTTGGGTAAATAGCTTAAAAAAGGGGTCACTTTTTAGGCTTTCTGGCTTTTCCCCTCTATATTTTAACCTTGAAGTTGCTGTCTTAGTTCAAAATGAAATCACATTCTGAACTGAGCCAGACTGGTAGCATTTATTTTTACTCTTTAATTCCATAGTCCATACACCTCCCCTAAATTAGTCCTGCTGCTGTGATCAGATTCCCAGCTGGTGACAATACTCTGCCTCCTTAACACTCCGTCCCATTCCAGATGATGAAGCAACTTTTCGCTCTGTGTCCTGAGCTACAGGTCAGGCTGCTGCAAGTCAGCTAGCGTCTCTCTCCAGCTCAATGCTGACTTCCCACATAAAGAACTGGGAGACAACCTCAACATTTGTCTCATTACCAACACCTAACAAGCCCCTGCTATTCAAAAACCTATGCATTTGTGCAATAGTTACTCTAGCTTATTCTCTCTTTTGGGTCAACAAGAAACCTTTGGGTTGTCAAAACTTAACAGCTGCCTCTCCTAGCTAGCGTCAGCTTAATAAATAACCTAGAAGTCCCATTCCCAGGTCCCTTGAGCCACTGGTCCCCATGACACCGCAGCCCTATATCAGAAGTCTGCTGCCAAAATGCTTTCACTGGCCCCTGTTTTATCTGTTTACTTAGGGCAAATGTTACAAGAGGTCTGTACCTCCTAAAGGGAATTTATCCATCACATGGATTCCCAACTACCTGTAAGAACAGACAGAAAGCATTATGTATTAGAAAAAAGTCCCTTATTGGTCATTGAGGCAGAAGCAATTGTCTTCTACCCCTGGTATTTGATTCACAGCTGGGAAGCAGCCCTTATAGACAGATCCACTCCCCTGGGAATCTGTTGGGTTTGGTTCGTATCCCCTTTTCTGCCTCAGTAGCTCAAAGAAAGCAAATCCTACTGAGTTAGACACCATCTTCTGCATATGCTGCCCCTCTTGCAGGAACCTACTAGTGCTATGATCCTGCTGATCCTATGATCTTGGGAGTGTTCCCACTCTGCAACAGCATTTGTTAGTTCCTCAGACATCTCCCTCAATGTTTTTGGATGGATAACGCCCGAAACAGACCACAGAGTAACAGAAAAGTCAAAGGCTAAGCAGTCTTTTAACCTGGTACAGGTGCTAAGTGTCTCCTGCTGTGCTTTGACAGGAAAATCACCTTACCCAAGCTTGCTCTTTAAAGAGAAAAAAAAAAGAAGTGTGAATACAGAAGCACCAGGTGACAAAGGAAAATACTTTTGTTATAAGGCGAAGCTGGGAAGGGAGAGAAGGACTCACCGTGTGAAGCTCTCTCTTGAATATGATGAGTGTTACAAAGCCAACAATAATGAATATTGGACCAAGACTCAAATAAGCTAAAAGCTGACCAGAGAAATCACCTAGGGAAACAAACAAGAGAAACAAATCAGTTTGAACTCCACAGGCACCTGCCTGCCACCAGAGCGTGGGTCAGCTGGTGCTCGGAATCACCGAGAGCAGAGGGGCAAACTCAGCACTGCCCCAGTCTCCATTTTGCAGACTGACTGCTGCTGCTCCAGCCCGCCAGGAGCCCAGACAAGGAAGGCAGCAGTGCTCACACACAGGTTCAAAAGCAGGGACCAGGAGCTTGGCACCGTTCAGCAGAGATTACTGCCAGCCAATTTACAACAATGACCGTGGGTGTGGGCTAAGAGTCACTTTCATCCAACATAAGCGCAGGCTGCTGCAAAAGAGGCAGCGTCTTTCCCTCCCCCTCATTCATATTGCCTCCCTGTGCCAGCAATTACCAGCAAACACTCCCCAAACAAATCCTTTCCCACTCCCTTACTAAAATGGGTTAGTTTTCAGCTGGATCAGCTCCCTAATCTGTCTCACCATGTGTCTCCATGAACACTAGCATTAGCAAAATGGGCAGAAAAGAAATAGCTAAACATAGCTGGAGATAAAGGGAAAAAAGGAGGCTCTACTTTTTAACCAGTAGCCTACTTGTATCACACAGAAGAGACTTTGGGCCTCCCCCTCAAATACCAAACAGCCTAGATATCCCCCAGGGAGAACTGGGGAGCAGCAATAGGACCTCACAAGAGGGCAGAAGGTAGCGCAAAACCTTTATCCTGAACTATCACAGACACAGAAGTAGGCAAAGAACAGTCAAGAGCAGCTATGTATTTTGATCTAAGTTTCTCTTGCCTTTGCTCCCTGAAAAAGGACACATACAAAAGTATTTGGAGAGAAGATGTCAGCATAAATTCTGAGGAAACAAAAAGTTAACAGAATAATTTTGCTCCAAGGTCAGCAACTCACAACAGGAGAGCAAGAACGATCTACCAGGGAATCTTTTAAGAGACAGCAGTCACTACAAAAATGCAGTATGAATGCAGCGAGCAACTTAAGAGGGTACTTTATTGGTTCTCAGAGACTAGATCTTCTCCATCCCATCACTGAGCAGAAGAGGATCGGCCCCCACATAAATTTTCCTTCCTCCCTCCTCTCAAAAGGAAACAGGATGCCTCTGCAAGGCTGAGCATTGGACTCCTTCCCAGATCAATTCCACTGTAAGATACTGAGTCTCCCCAGCCCACGCACCCACATTTTAAAACAGCACTTGGCAAAACAGACTTCAACCTCAGCCTCTGAATACTGGAACTGATTAAAAAAAAAGTTACTGCACTGCTACAAAGTTCACGCTGCTGATGGTATTGCCACATAGTTGTGGTTACATCAGGTACAGTGCACAGATCCCTCTTGATTTACAGACCGGGTTAGATTTGGGAACCAGCAACATGATCAGCAAGGATTACTTGCAGGAGTTGTAGCTTGCATCACCAGTGAAATTAGGAGGAGCTGGAGGACACAACCCCCAAGAACACCGGGTTTTCACTGAAGTGAGGTTCTATTTTGGTTTTGACCTGAAAAGCGTCAGACAACACTAAATTTGAAGCTTTTCTTGCACCACAAGGCAGGTTTGCCTTGCATCAGGTGGGTTCCAAATGCTCCCAAAGCAGAACAGCAATGTATTACGGTAACACAAAGTGGATATAAGTGACAGTACCAGTTACCTGGCAATAGAGGATCAAGCCCCTTATGGTTTTACATAAATCACAAACTCTCAACAAAATTAATCCTGTCTTAAATGATGAGGTAATCCATGAGACAACCCACCAGACAATCAAAACTACCCAGAAAGCCTTAGCAATACTTTCCAATAGTCCCAGTTCCAGTGTCACCAACTGAAGAAAGCTCCTCATCGAGGAATCACCATGTTTCAGGTCACTCACTGTTAATCCATGGTCCACAAAGGCTTAGCACTTCAAGACTAAAAGCCGTAATTTTGTCAAGTAGAAACCAAAAACAGATTATTTATCTTCTCAGGGGGGTTCTATCTCTTGTGCAGATGGTGGAAGAATACTTAAGGAAGTAGTCTTTTAATTTAAATAGCATCAGCAGTACCAAACTCAAGATCCTCCATTATGTTACATGATAACATAACCAATAAATCAAGCCACCCAGACTTCACCAGCCCAACACCCACACTTGAATCTGAGGTGGAGAACCAGAAACATCGCTCTCAGAGGCTGCCTGCAGGCAGAGTAGCTTTACTCAAACAATCTTAACACAATAGCTCCCCAAACATTTCAGCTGTCCATTTAAAACAGAACAGAGATAGCATTAATTATATTTCACGTTACTGCGGCTAACAGCAATCAAACAGAATCACATTCCGAAGCCATTTTTTCTAGAGGAGGGAGACAAATAAATCCCTGCGCACGAACTGAAGGTATTGCTATGCCCTGGGAGCTACCCCGGGAGCTCACTAATGCCACCGTAAATGTACTCGCTCGATTAGCGGCAAGGCAGAGCTGCACTAACTAAACCAGCTCCGAAATGACTGGAAATCCCCAGTGAAGAAGGCAAAGCGAGCTCTGAGAGAAAGGCCAGCGCTGATCACCGCACAGCGCTCCTGGGGCCTCAGAGCGGGATTACTTGTGTCACTCCCGCCTACTCTCACGCTCCAGTGCGCTCGGAGACGTATTCCCAGGAAAGGGGACTTGCAGGAGAGCCGACAGTTTGAAGTCCAGTCAGATCTAGCAAGCAGGTCTCCCCACTACCTTTTTATAAAAATTAATTTTTCTTCATTTTACTGAATTTGGGAATTCTAAAGCAATTCCTCCAGCCAGCAAGATCAGAGACAAAACCCCTGGAAAAATGCAGAAGGAAAATCTATTTAATACGTAGCTTGGGTTTTGTTTTGTTTAAATTCTGCCTTTTTAAAGTCCAGCCTTCCCTGGACATCATTTGGAGCTCAAGAGGCAAAATTAAAGAACCCAACTACCTCATTTTTAGGCACCCAAGAGATAAACAGGTGAAACACTATACATAGCTCAGAAGCATGCTATTTTTTTCAGCCTTCATTCAGCATCTGCTTCTGCTCCAATTCAACATTTTACCCAGCATTCTTTCAGTGGAAATATCCAAGCTTTACCGCATTAGCTTAACCTGCATATAATGTAAAAACACGAATCAACAGCACTTTAACCACATCCTACCGCAAGATCTAGCTTCACCATCACCACTGCTGCTTCCTATTGAAGCATCTATTTGTGGCGCTGCTGCTGGACCGATGTTCTCGACTAAACGCATGTGTGCAAGTCGCACAGCCAACATGCAGTGTATGTGTGTCACATGCATTTACACCAGTCAATATGCATGACGGATCATCATTTCCTCTACTGGCGCATATCCTGATATCACAAGCTGTGGGGCAGCAAAAATATCTTCAGGAGGCTTTAAATTACAGCATAAAAGGCAAGCATCAGGCACGAAACTTCTGCAGGAAGGTTAAACATAAAACGCCGCATTAAAGCGGCCAAACAACCGAGTGCTCTCTGCTTCTTTCAACAGATAGGACTGAGCTACAGAAGGAGCCCTGACTGGCGAGCCACCACCCTAAACAGAAATCACAGCAAGGGTTATCAGCACAAACATTCCTATAGGAGCAACACGTGCTGACACTGAATAGCAACGAGAACTGCTGAGCCAAAGGACACACAGCACGAGCACCTTTGCTCCGATGGGTTGATTCTGCACGTTTGCCTCTCCAGCTCTGCCTGACTGTAGTAAACACACTTCATAACTGAGAAAACAGGAAGATTCTCTGTCATGCTGCAGAGAAAGGGTTTGGCACGCTGGGTTTCTCTCCTTAAAGAATTTGTCCAATGTGAGAAGAGGAGTCCAGAGAGTCCCAGAGCTTCAAGAATCCCAGCTGCACTGAAGAGAGGAAGTTTTTATTTCTCCAAATAATTAAAAAAAAACCCCAAACAAACCAGGAACTCAATGTTTCTCCAATGTTTCTCACCCTACAGACAGGAAGTCCCTGAAGATGAGTTTTAAGTCTGCAACACAAAGTCATCCCATGCAAAGCAATGCATACGGGAAAAAACAATCCTAATTATACACACAACGTGACAGGATTTAGTCTAGTTGTCAGCAAACACGAAACCCTCAGGCTTAGTGTGAGACGATACCTTCAGAGTAGTATCCAATGCTCTGCAGCAGTCAAAAAGACAAGAACAACATTTTTAAGATCAAAACAAGCTACTGTTGCAGCACTACAAAAATTTATTACGTGATTTTGGTGTCACTGTCTAAAAAGGGATAGTAAACACAGAAAACGCAAACAGAAAGGGGACAAAGATAAGAATGAAACAGTAGCCACTCAGAAAATACCAAATAACTACATTTTCAGCTGAAAAGGGAAAACAGAGGATGCAACAGTTCTATAAAGTCATGAACGATATGGAGAAATGGACAGCGAACATTTGTTACCTCTCACTGCACATGAGAGTGTTTGGTGAAATTACTGAGCAGTGGACTTAAAAGCAGAAAAGAAACAACTACCACATTAAGTTACAAAGCTCAGTGCGAAAGATACTGCGAGATCCAAAGTGGAAATGGGTTCAGAGAGCAATTCAGAGGACAGCTTTTATATATCCATCAAAGGACTTAACAATCCTGATGCAATCACCAGCTGATTACTGGAAAGACATACGGAAAAAGGATTATTCCTGCCTACCTGCCAGCAACCCGACACTATGCCAGATCAGTCCTTGGTTTCACCAAAGTACAGCTGCTGATATGAAATGCTCCAGGACCAAACATTTCTGAAAGCAGTATCAGGACAATATTTTTGAAGACCTTCCCCTTCAGCAGCACGCTTTAACACACTGTCAGGTAACACTGCCATTGTGGGGCTCTTCTCCCTACATTTGACCTTGACATTTACTACAGGTAACATTCCAGTTAGGTCTCCAAGACCCCATTACTCAGACCAGTTTGCAGTTGACCACCACAGCATTCATCTGCTGTTTCTCATTTGATCTTGCTCTAAGTCGACATCGCAGAAA